TCCGATTCCATATTATTTGGTTATCATAAACTATTTCTGTGTAATTATATTTTTGCAGTGCAAATAGCTGTCTTTAAAATGTATACATTGTGTTTTTGTGTACTTTCCACTTTCCGGGCGGCATCTGTTATTTTTTGGTGCCTCACATAACGACTGTGTCCTACTCAGCGGCGTACCTAAAAATGTGTAAGTCTATGCGCAGTGGTGTGACAGATACTTTTATTTGGGCTTACAGGGAAGTCGAATTAAGAAGATGCAGAAGAAGCGCAAGAGAGATTTCTAACCGACGTAAAGAAAACGTGACGGAGGTGTACAGGCACAAAGAAAAGGTAGAAAATGTACCGTGTGTCCCATTTTGGTTGAGACTGCGGTGTATCTCAAGCTGTTTTTATAGATAGAAACTTGCGGTCTTCGCGGTCCTGTGCCACTTTTTTTGTGAAACTTTTAATACCACAAATATAATCAATTTAGGCTACGTTTGTTTTTGAGATACAGGGCGAATACGAAAAGTATGACTTTTTGGCACGTTATCATAATATTTTTCTACCCATGTAAAATAGCAAAAAAAGGAAAAAACTGTTTGTTTTAAATATTTTTACATAGAATCCAGTGGCGTAGTTAGAAAAAATTTTGGACCACCCTTTTTGAGATTTGGCCCAATAATGTTGGTCAATTTCTTGCGAAATCTGCTCAATTCGTGATCGCTGTTTGCATCGACGTTTTCCTTCCCGGCTATCGTGCATCGGAATTGTCTTGGCGAGCACTTTTCTGGTTTTTGCATGAAAGCGTACGTAAGTGATCGGTTTGTGGTCCGTATATACCGTGAAGGTTCGACCTTCTAGCATATGCTTGTACTGCTTGATGGTTTTGTACATGGTGAGTAATTCCCTGTCGTATGCACCGTACTTGCGTCTGTTGCGAGGTGGTGCATCATGGTTGCATTTGCCGTTTGCATCGCTTCAATGCTTCCTGCGCTTCGGCCGTCCATTGTAGTGGTTGGTTTCCTCGAAATTTTCATTTAGCAATTCATGCAGCGGTGTCCGGGTTTCTGCGGCGTTTTTAATGAACCGTCGGCAATAGTTCACCATCTCCAGTACTTAGCGAAGCACTTTGATGTCTATCGGGCGCGATCCTGAGCAGCTGGATACTTGGTAGCCTTAGAACTCGATCTGTTTCTTCACGAAGTGGCATTTATCTAGGTTTATTACCATTCCGTTATCGTTTAGTTGCTGGAACAGTTTTTGTAGGTGCTCGGCGGTGTGCTCCTCCTCGTTCCTTGATGCAACAGAATATCGGCGATGTACCCGTAACAGAAATCCATGTCACTTTATATGTTGTCCATGAATCTCTAGAATGTCTGCACTGCGTTTCGAAGTCCGAACGTCATAAATGGAAATTCGAACAATCCGAATGGTGTTGTGTTGCGATATCCATTAATTTGATGTTTACAATATGCGATACGTTTGCTTCTAAAAGCATCTTAAAATTTCAAAGAAATACCTCTATAAGTAAGAAAGTTGGCATTTTCATTTTCGCATACGCACGTCTGATTTTTACTATGTGCAATATGTTTGCTTTTACTAGAAGCATCTGTGGTTACAATTCCAACAAAATATATTAGCACCTAAGAAAGTTGACATTGCGCAGTTTAATGGTCAAGATTCTGCTTGGCTCAGGTGCCAGACCGAATGCAAAAAGAACGAACTATTGAAAACTGTAGAAGTAGTTAAGGCCTCGAAAAGACGGGCAGACGGACGGACAGAGAAAGTGGCTGCAATAGCGCACCCAACTTCGTTAGAAAATGCGCTAAAAACTAATCGTAAGTGATTTAAATAAAACACAGTTCAACATTAACAGTCGTTGTCCAAAAAAACTAGTTACTCTTTGACACGCGATTTCAATTTGCTGTATAAGATTATCTTCCGCTGAAATTTCAGGAGAATTGGGTAACAAATGAACAATGTACCGTAAAATTTCGGTTACTTTGTTACACCCGAGGTTACTTTGTGATGTTATCAGGGATGTCATGTACCTATTTTTACAAAGGAAAATTGATATTTAATTGTACCAAATATAGTACTTACTATTGCGCACATGCATTTTCTTAAAGAATGCCTAAAGAGGACCTTTGGCGACATCTCTACGCGAATATTTGCGTTCGTAAGTGTGATATAGGTATTTGAAACATAATTAGACTGTCAACGTGCGAAAATCAACAACAATACGGGTGATGTATGTAAACTTTCAGCAACAGTGAATAAATCGGGTAAACTCATCCCACTACATTATCCCAGCAAACACACTTTACGTTTAAAATCGGTTTTAAAGCGTTTTGAAAGGATAAATTCGGTATTATGTATACGTTTTTGTGTAGACAGATTTTATACCCACGTTTAAAATACGATTTTTATTCATATATATAAATCATAGAGTTCACTTTCTACGTTGATAATACGTATATAAATAACCGTTTCTTAGCAATCGTTTTATAAACGTATATAACACCACTTTAATATACGCATATACGCATATAATTCGTATATCAATGGGAAATAATAAACGCATAATATTCCTACAAGAATATAGCAACATCCACCGGACATTTATGCGTATTATATATGTAGGGTTTTAGTCTACCATAAACGCTTTTTATACGGAACTGTGTTGCTAGGGATTCGAAACTATGTATATAGCATTTGGAAAACAGTATCTAATAATTATCATATTTGAAGTTATATTAAAAGTGCAAGGACCCAAAGTAACCCCAGACCCTGGGGTGAAATTGTAACAGTTTTTGAAATTTTTCAGTATGCCTTCTAGAATGAAAGCCATTCTATGGTTCACTCGATTAAGAAAAGTTGATACTTCATTTGGCATTTGGCTAATCAAAGCGATCAAATAACGTTTCTAAAGAAAGATATCGTGCACAGGGACAGACAGACGAACAGGTAGTTTTTTACTATAACTTTTTTAATAATAAACGCAGCAAAAATTCCTTTCCTCGTGCAAGCCTCGACTCTGTAACGAACAAAGTAGAAAAATAGCTCTTAACTTAAGATAAAGTTCTAGTAGCGACACAGTCGTAGGGACGGACAGACGGACAAAGTGGGCACAATAGCGCATTCTTAATCTTTTGATCTACGCGTTACATTTTCAGAAATTGGGACGGAACGATTTCGATTTTACCTACCAAAATCTATAAGAATCTCTGAAAAAACAGAAAAGGCACCTCACACCTGCACCTGAATCTGCAATCCCGTTATATACGCCCTGGAAAGTGTATTGGTGTACGTTATTATACGTTTACTTATTTATTATTTTTATTTTTAATTTCCATCTGGTTTACATGGCATGTCGGGTTATGTCGTTTATCAATTAATTCCCTAGGTAATCCTTTTGGATGTGGCTTTAGTCTTGTTAGTAAGTAAGTAATAATTTTAAAAAAAGGAGCATTTAATTCGGGAATAGGGCACTTAAGTAGCACCTAATTTTAGTTAGTTCACTTTTCATTTTCTCTGTAATAATTAAAAAAAAGGAGCTTTTCTTTCGGAGAAAGGGCACTTAATTAGTACCTAATTATAGTTAGTTCACTTTTCATTTTCTTGGTTTTTTGAGGTAGTGTTCTGCTGAGTTCAAATGAAATGAATTTAAAAAAAAAGGAGCATTTAATTCGGGCGGGAATAGGGCACTTAATTAGCACCTATTTATGCAATATGTTTGATTGTGTACTGCTGACCTTGCTCTGCTAGGTTCATGGACATCACACAGGGCTGCCAGAAGTGACTTTTGATATTCAGTAGGTATAGAGGATTCACTCTATGAAATTTCATGATTTTTGAAATGATAGATACTAAAGTTGTATTTCAAAATGAATGCATCGCAGTTAAGTAATTTTATATAACTTCAGCATTTACTTACAAATGCACGGGAGTAAGTTAATTACATTAGAAAATAGCAGATTCGTCCACCAAAGGCAGTAATCGATTTAAACATCAAATAAAATCTAGACAAAAAGCCAATCGTTTAGGTAAATGGTCATAAAACTTACAGTGAAACTTGCTGAAACGATCACCTACCTACTCCTTAGTTACAAAGCTGAAGACAACATAATTTAAAATAAACGTGTAAACAAATATAGCAAACGAGCTCCAAATTTTGAACTTGGTGTTAGATTTGCTTTTATACCAAATGCATATGTATCAGATGCTTTCGTAAATTATAAAGTTGGTACTGCGTATGCGCAAATCCAAATTTTGAAACTGGCGTTACATTTGCTTTTAGTCCAAGTAGCTATGTATCAAATTTCATTAAAATGCTTCCATAAATAAGAAAGTTGGCACTGCGCATGCGCAAAACCAAATTTTAGACTGGAGTTAAGTTATCACATTTGCTTTTATTCCAAGTGTCTATGTATCAAATTTCATTTACATACTTTTATAAATAAATAAGTTTGCGATTCGGTTCAGAGATGGTCGAGATGGGAAAAGGGCATTGTGAATGTGGATCGATTAGGCTCAACTTTGGACATTGCTATGATCATATAGAATTTCATGCAGTTCGATTCATAACTAACGGACCTGAAAAATTTCATCGTAATCGATCCATTCGTTTTCGAGCGGACGGACAGACACCGTAAAATTATAAACTCGATAGGAGCTCGTTAATAAAGTGAATAATTACAATTAAAACTAACCACTTCACTTTTCTACAGCGCAAAACTATAATTGAAAATTATACAGGCAAATACGCTATGGATGAAGGCAAAAACCAAAGTGGCGCTAATTTTACAATAAACCTAGTAAACTGTAGATACTATCAACAAAGCTAATAAAACACATTTTTCAATTTATTAATAAGACGCCCATTGCCAACTACCTATACTGTTAAAATGTTGCAGACATTATGAGGAGAAGATTTCGGACACTTCTCACCAACAACCAAAATGAGATGCACTCGTTCGAGTAGTTCAAGTGCCTTTTAGAGTAAGTAAGCAAAACAGATTGTAGACGATTAGAGTTTATTATTTATATTAATTACACCTTATACTTATAGGTATAAATAAATTTGTCTTTAACACTTTGTGCATGTAGAAGGGTAAATTGTCTAAGGCGGCAATGCGATTGATGTCGGTACTCTAGTTCTTTGTTATTGGGTACTTTCCGACACATATATTATGGGACAGCTGGGTCATCAATAATAGGATGCCTTTCTTCGCACATTTTACGTTTTGATAAAGCCGAATGAATTTTCGATTTAGTCGTTGCTCCCCACTTCTCCTTCACCGCCTCTGATGAGGCCATCAACATTGAATATGTCGAATTGCTCTCTCCTTCTTTACTATAATGAATGCCATACAGAAAATAGACTAACAATCCTGAAAAGAAAAAAAATGTCCGTGTGCAAATGTAGGGGAGGGTTTAGACATACCGACGATCATCCACACTAGGAACCTTAACCACGTTAATATGTTTAAATGGGCCATAACTCCAAGTTACAAAATATACTTAATGCGGGTATTATGGGCACCATCGGTACTCGAAACTTCAAACCCGCATCGATGTTTTGATAATGTGCGATGATTACCAACATACCTAGAATACAACGATACAATTCACTTATCTACGCATCTGCCACTTACATCCTGCCATAATTAAAACGAAGAATAATATTAACAAGATCACCCACCATATTCCATTCCATAAATCTTTCGTATACAACTGTAACAGCGCGCAGAGTGCCCCGCTGACACATGCGAAAATAAATACTGCTCCAGTTACAACCGAACCAGGCTCACATTGACCAAATAACGGATTTAACCAATTGTATTGGGGTTTTAAGGTGCCCACTAACATTTGTATATCCGACACCGGTGTTGTTGCCTGCGAGTTTGTGGCAGACGTTTCGGAAACAAGCGACGAATTATTACGAGATATAATCATTGGAGGTGGTCGGTAGCGAAGAATAATGACGGAGGCACTCACTATGGTGTACGCTAGCAAAGTACCTATGGACATAAATTCGACCAGCTTTTCCAGGTCAAACAGTAAGGCGATTAAACCGCTCGCTATTCCTGAGATGATGAGGTTTGTGAGCGGAATTTGAATTTTCGAATTAACGTTTCCCAAGAACCCAAAGAGAAGGCCATCGCTGGCCATTGCGTACATACATCGAGGTAACGAGAATAAGGATCCGAATAACGTTGTGGTCATTCCACAAATGGCGCCTAAGGAAACGACGTATTTTACCCATTGCGCTCCTATGTTGGCAAATGCCTCCGGAAGGGCGGCTTCGGGATTAATCATGTAGTAAGGGACTAGCAACGTTAATGCTGTGCATACCAAAACGTATCCCACGGTAACAATACACATTGATAGTACTGTTGCGATTGGTATGGAAAATGACGGGTTCCTTGCCTCTTCTCCCGAGGTGGCGATACTGTCAAAGCCAACAAATGCGTAAAAGCAGGTAGCTGCCCCTTTTAGTACACCTCCAAATCCGTATGGAAGAAATCCTCCATTCTGGGAGGACCAGTTGTTGGCGTTTGCGTAATAAAACCCCACAATGGTCACTAATGTCATCACCGCCAAATTCACAACGGTTAACGAACTGTTGATCATCGCCGAGCCTTTCACCCCAATTCCCAGCAGTATGGCATATACTACGCATACGGTAAAAGCCAACAGATCGGGATAACGTCCTAGTAGTTCTTCGTGTAACTCCCCCGTGATCTTTGCCGTTGCGTTGCTGATGCTACCCCCGAATAGGGAATCGACGTAACCGCTCCAAGCTCGTGCAACTGAAGCGGCTCCTAAAGTTCCCTGGATTAAAGTTTTGTGGTGAAGAGAATTTACCTACCTATCATATGTTCCAAAATAATGTTCCATCCAATCACAAAAGCCCAGAACTCTCCAATACTTACATACGTGTAAATGTAAGCAGACCCTGCCTTGGGGACCCTGGTGCCGAACTCGGCGTAGCACAACGCCGATAATAAAGACGCCAATCCGGCCAATAAAAAAGACAAAATGATTCCTGGTCCTGCAATATCTCTAACTACCGTTCCAGTTAGGACGTAAATCCCCGCACCGATCATGTGCCCGACGCCTACAAGCCAACAATTAGTAAAAGTAATAAGTGTATTAAGGTACCTAATAAAGTAATGTCGAAAGTGTTAAGACAGCGGTTCAGTGGAGTTTCCATGACGTCTCGTGGCAGCTGCTTCGTGCGGTTCATTTTTGAGCACAAATCTGACATCACGTGCCCCAAAATCATTTTCCGGGAGCTTGGCATTGTCTAAAACAGTGCTGCTACAATTTATTGTATAGAAGGGAATGTAGAATAGTCCTTTAATTATTCAGTGGGGATCCGTTGGTTACAGTTTCATTCTTCCTATATATACCTCTGACAATTTTATGGTTTTTATATTGGCTTACTTAAGGGAGGAAGCATCACAATTATAGGGATGTTATGAAAGTAACTCGTTACCTCAGGAAGAAAAAAGGGTAATTGAAATTTGCGAACGTACTAGAATAATTATGTAGGAATATTTTACCTTTTAAAGTGCTTATTCAGTTCAAGGGAAGTTTCTTCGGTTGACGACTCGGAGATACCTTTATTTAAATATTAACGTCATCGGTTGTTGCTAAAATACATAAATTACATAAGCAATGAAGGTGGAAACTAGCATATGTTCATTTAATTTTTGTCGAAATTGAAGTGAATCAATAGATGAAATGTGGCACAAGTGTCTGACACGTATGAATTTGCGGTAGGTACTTACCTAAAGTTAAAAATTGTTCATAAAATATGTCAGTTTCTAAAAAGTTCTTTTTGATTTGAGCAATGGAATGATACTGATGGCCAGGGGTACGAGAAAGATGCGCACGTGCCTTAAAAATCGATATTCAGCCGACATACATATACGAATTGTGGGAGCATATTTTACTGGTTTACTTAAATCTTTTATTCCTATTAAGTAATCAGTTTCAATTCTCTCCAAAATTATGGATTCAGACTATAAGAGGGACTTCAACTGGCAGTCGTGTAACGTAATCTACCTACTTTGCTTAAAATTTAGTCCTAGGTATAGAGAATGATTATAGTTTTATAGTGAACGTGTACCTAGGCATAAATAGGCATAAGTACCTATAGATGACCGGGTTCGTTACCGCATATCCTTTTTTCGGTTGTAGGCATATGTATGTAACTTAGAGAAATATTAAACTGCAGGTTAGGCAGACGTAATGCTAATGAGTAATGTCTAGGTGCTATATAAAATCATAGAAAGTCTGTTGTGGTGTCTTTTCGTAGACATACTTAGTTTCCACACTAGTGTAGGAAAAGAGAATTGCGCACTCTTTGCGGATGGGATCCAAATTTAAGAAAAATCCGAGGGGCAAACCACTCTGGAATTCATAGAATTCTCATGGAATTCATGAAATATTCGTAATTTATGGAATTCATGAAATATTCGTAATTCATCGAATTATTTTGAAATTCATGGAATTCATGAAATTATTCTGGAATTCACGGAATTCCTTTTACAAGCTACCGTTCAGGTTGTACCTACAATTCAGTCATCATTTTTTAAGTGAATATTTCGTATTGCTCGGTACAATTGTATGCTTTGCACGGGACTAAATTAACGTCATCCGTCACGACACGCTATTAGGAATGGCAATCTTGTTAAAGAACATTTGATAATAATAATAATAATATTTATTACTGTTAACATGCCAATAAAACATTTACAGAAGTCAAAGGAAACAACACAACATTTATATACATTCATGTTAAATTACACATAGATCACAGTCTTTAAATTCATTAATAGTATAAAATGCGCCTTCAGTAAGGAATTGTTTTAATTTAGTTTTCAGGGTATTGTACGGTACATCCCTGGTCTGGCCAGGCAGCAGGTTAAAAAGCTCAAACGAAATATTTACAAAACTTCTGTGAGTTGTATCTAATCTAATCTGTAGTGCTTTAGATCAAGATTACTACAATTTCGTGTATTATAACTATGTATATCGGACCTTACACAAAGTTCATTGGCACGAATCTTAGCATATAGAATACAGTGTAGTATAAATATGCAAGGAAATGTCAACAATCTGAATCTAATAAATACATTTTTGCAATCTTCTCTATACTGCAGATTGCCTATAATTCTAATAGCACGACGTTGGAGAGCAAATATTCGTGTTGCACTTGTACAATTACCCCAAACAATGTTACAGTAATATAAGTGAGTCTGAATCACTAATAAATAGACCATACGTAAAATATTAGGGGAAACGTTTTCAGATAAACGCCTTAAGAGGAATATATTACCGGAAATTGTTTTGGCTACTTTACTAACATGTTCCTTAAACGTTAATTTCGGATCAATGTTAACACCTAAAAAATTAGCATAACAAGGATTATCGAAATCATTTTGTTTGAGGGTGATTTGATTAGCATTTGTACCGTTTTACTAGAATTTAATCTTAGTTCATTTGATAAACACCAATTCTCAGTTAATTGAATTGCTCTACCCGCCTCTTCATAAACCCTATTTAAATTCTGGTCCGATATTAGCAGAGTCGTATCATCCGCGTACTGAAGGCATGTAACAGTGTCTGTTAAGTGGAACGAAAAATCGTTAATAAATATTAAAAATAATAGAGGTCCCAGAATGGAACCTTGCGGCACGCCTCTTTGAAGCTTAAGAAACTTGGATGTATCACCATCAACCTTTACAGCTTGCATTCTATCGCTCAAATATGATTTGATCAATGCTACACTAGATGTATCAAATTTGTGCAACTCTTGCAATTTCGTAATTAATATTATGTGCACCACACTGTCAAAAGCACGAGTTAAGTCGATAAAAATGGCCATAGAGTGCTCACTTTCTTCGAAACACCTCAGAGAGTAATTAAGGAAATGAATTCTTACCTTTTCACTCGTTAATTTGAGGTTGATATTAGATGTTTTCAAAAGGACTGCATACTTAAACCCGTCGATATGGAACCATCTTTCGGCGACTATGCTTAGAGTTGGAGTTGAGGATTGATTGGACAATATAGGTCTGCTCTCTCATTAACTGGATTTTATTCCGGTTTAATATAAATTTGAAGAAATCTCTTAGGTAAGCTTTTACACCAAACTGCCTTTTGCGTTAGCGACACTAATAATGAACTGTATTGTTATTTGATTTACGCTAAGTACTGAACGGAACCGCCATTCGTTTTTTAAACCACTCCAGTGCTGATACTTTTAGATTTCTTCACGTTTCCGTAAGACGCTTACTACGCACCGTACCTGCTAAAACGAGAATTCCCTCCTTTTGTACAAACCAATCCCCTCTATGAATACCTAGTAATTTTTTTAACTCCTAATCAATATGGGAATAGTAACGGCGGCGGTATTTGATTAATCTTCATTGGTTCAAACTAGCTTGCAGGGTTGACTTTCGGCTTCTGTGAGATCAGCTTATTTTCTCCCAAGCTGTGCTTAATTTGCAGAGTTGCAGAAGTCACTTAACACGACCGATTTCCAGCGTGTAATTCAAAACCAAAGCCAGATAAACACAATTTAGATCAAATAATTCATTGACAAACATGTCATGTAACATGTAATGGGAGAAGCTCGCTGCTATTGCAATTGTCAAAATAAACACAAACTGAACATGAGTAGGTAATATTTGTTTGGTTGAGTGTTCTTGAACCTTGACCCCTTTTAAACTTAGAAATTTTTCTTCAGAATAATTCAACAGGATAGTTTTAAATCAAGATACTGGCACTTAGTGTCATTTTATAGATTATGAGGTTGAAATGAAATTTCTGTCGATGAAAAAATAACATGAGGTAAAGTACAAAATCTGCTATTTAACATATAAAAAAATTAAGGTTTCTATGGGAAACGGGATAGATTGACTGGACTAACTACTGCAGTAACCTACCAGGCAACATTACCCAAAAATAGGTCACTTACTTTAGCTGACATGTACAATGTGGTCCAATTTCGGTGGGATTAAATTGGCAACTTTCTTATTAACGCAGATAAACGAAAATGGTTTAAGTACTCGTGACCTCTTTTTAGCGCATTTTGCAGCTAAGTTGGGTGCGTTATTGCAGCCCCTTTCTCTGTCCGTCCATCTGTCCGAGGCCTTAACTATTTCTACAGTTTTCAAGATATTAAGTTCGTTCTTTTTGAGCCAAGGAAAATCTTGACAGACTGCGCAATGTTAAACTTTCTTATTTATGGAGGTATTTCTTTGAAATTTTACCCAAAGATACTTTTAGTGTAAGCAAACGTATCGCATATTGTAAACATCAGATTAATGCGCGCAAATATCAACTGTTATTTATCGAGAAATCTTTTTGAAATTGTAATCACAGATGCTTCTGTTAAAGGCAAACATAACTGATATTGCAACAATTAGATGTGCGCATGCGCAGTCAGTGCCAACTTTTTTATTTATCAAGATATTTCTCTGAAATTTTAACCATATATGCGTCTAGTAATGAAAATCACAGCGCACATAGCTATGGCCTTTTGGGAAGTACTGATCATTCATGGAAAATGCGCTGAAGTTACTCGCCTTAGGGCGAAAGCCTTTTTACTTGGTTTATGCTTATTCCATTATCGTTGCCAGAAATGAGCTGCCGTCTTCTGTTTTTTCACTAAGTAGAAAAACTGAAAAATGGCCGATTCCTTCAATTTGCGGTAGCTCCTTTAATTTTGAAGCTAGTTCAAAATGGCTTTAGCATTATTCAGGCACTTTTTAACGTAGAAATCAATGCTGTCACTCGTTTATTTCTAGTGCTTTTAGTAACTGCGTTGTAACTCAAAGTTGATTTTTTAAATGGAAGTTGCAGATTACTATGGTTTTAAAACTTTTATTGTTCTACGAGCTTTCCTAAAATGTATACCTAATATTTCATACTTATTTTCAATAATAAGTTTTCTACAATAAATTTTGCTTATTAATACATATTATGCGTAGGTAGGTAAATAACAAAAGATGATCAACCATAATTTTTTTTATTAATAAAATTAACTTCAAGTTGCAGCGCCGTTACTAAACGATCTAGAAACGAACAACTGACGGCATTGATTTTTACGTTAAAAAGTACCTGAATAATGCTACAGTCATTTTCTTGGAGCTTAAAAAATAAAGGAGTTACAGCCAGGGCCGGCTCAAGACAAAAGTTACGAGTAAGCAAGCATTAAAATTTGCGCCCCTGGTTACTCAAATATTATTTATCACTCACATAAACACAATTTATAACAATGCGAATTATTTATTACTTCTGTGTTGAAATTGGAACTGTCCTGAAACGCAATTCGATTTGATTATATAGCAAACTCGAGTATTCTCCAGTGAGTCCAGTGCTCCCGAATGTTCTCGAACATTCTAGAACAAAATACATCAGATTTCTCGGAAAGATTGCGTCACATCCGCCTTTGTTCGTTATCGCCGATTACTAATCTTTCATGGCGCCTCGATATCTATTGGGATTTCTGTAATATTCGTCACAATGTTTCTTACTATAACTTCGTTATATACTCTTTGCTATAACACACCCGGTAAACTTCATAACGCCTATCAGTCAATCTCCCGTCTCAACAGAAAGATTCAATTCTCCAGGTCCAGCTATACCCTTGGCAGCTACATGATGACTCCAACAACCCAGGAACTCTAGGTATATGATACTAGGCATTTTTCAATTTATGTAATATCGTGGTAATGCGTGATCGTTTGATCTTAAAAATAGAAAACGTCGTCAGTGTTTTATATCCGTGAATCAACAGTCACTAAATTTTGCGTCTTTTCTTGTCTGCATCGTAATCGGAGGGGTACACCGCTTACGCCTAAAGCCGGCCCAGCAAATTGAAGGAATCGG